TAACAAAAGTAGTGGCATATTGCCCCAAGACGTCATTTCATTTTATGATGAGCCTGTACAGTACGACTGTTAAGAAAATGAATCAACGATGTACTGAATATTTTCATTTTAACCTACTCTAATAGATTAACAAGCTAATCGAGCTAAATATTGTGTAATGTTTAAATAATAATTTACATAAAACACTATAAAAGTTATAAGAAGCACATTTTCGTATACTATGCCGTCATATTTACCTCATAAAAACAATACTGTTGCTAGGAAATTGTTGCTACTTATGCAATATGTTAAGCACACAATTATACACAATGTTGTAGCACTGACGCAAGCGCTGCTAATCGGTATCATTGTAAAACAAAACGTGTGGCATATTCCCCACGTTGGCGTATTACCCGCACTTACCCTATACATATATCCGCAAAATCTATCATATGTTTATCACATCAAATTTATTCAAAATTTATTCTAAATCAACTAGCTGTGTGTATGCGTGCGTGCGCGCGCGTGTGTGTGTGAATACTAATAAAAGTTTATGATTTCAATCAAGATTATTAAATAAAAACAAATCTAATTTATTTATTATATAAAATTGCTTCTTTGACAAATTTTGTAATATTTTTTAAAAGAAAAACTTGTTTTGATTGCATAATAATGAGTTTTTCTAAAATTTGTAATAAGTATATCTTAAAATTATTGTCAAGGAAATATTTTTTGTTAAAGATAATCATTATTTAAAAGAATAAAAGTAAATTGAATAATCACTTTTCATAGTAACAGAATGATATTTTTCTGTGTTATTATCTTACTCACCTGTACGCCACCGAATCCCATGGGACCGAGGAAAGTTTTACATTCCTCTGCAATTTTGTTCCATTTCCATTCAAAAAGATGCACCATCCCATCGTGGCCGGGCACATAGTGCGGATCTTTCTGAGCGGCTACTGCTGACAGTATCGCTAACGCGCACAATAGTACTCGCATCATGTTCATTGATGACTGCGATGCGAAATATCGGTCTCGGAAATATATAACTGGAGTCGCTCGAAGAGCAATATGTTTACTGATTATAACTGCACGTGGTGTTTCCGTTTCTCAATATTACATTGACCAACCGCGTCGATAAAATATATTTATCGCACAAATATAGAACGATAAATAAGTCTTATAAGTACTCTAATTAATTACATTCTTCTAATTATGCATTTGTATTGATGATGCATGAACAGCAAAAGACGCCAAGGTTACAGCTGTAACAACATTTATATAAACGAGCGTTATCTAATCGCTGCTGGTTCAAAAAAATATTGCAGACAGGTGCAAAATTGAAAAATGGCAAATTATTTTCTAGCACTAACCACAGACTAAAAGTCCATGGCACTAACTTAACAGAAAGACTTTAGAAGATTATACAGATTCACGATAATGGAATTGCATGGAAGTAATTGTACGAAACTCGATATCTATTTTATTATTCAAAAATTATTAAATTTCTCTCTTATTAAATTTATAATAATACTAAAAATGTAGTTATTGAACAGTATTATGTTCTAAAAAAAACAAAAGATATTGTTATTCTTTGATTTAAAAGAGAAAAAAGGAACTAAATTAGAAAAATTAAAAACAATAGAGAGAGAGAGAGAGAGAGAGAGAGAGAGAGAGAAAAATATAAATATAACAATATATGGGACATTCCATGTGAAAGTGAACTACCCATTTTCAAAAACATTTCGAATTTTGGCGAAACTTACTGATGTTGATGGGTTTGAGGATGCGCAATCAGTTGTGCAAAGTCTTAGACTTTTAGTGTCCAGCTAGTTTAGTAGCTGCAAAAGGAAGAAATTTTGCGACTTTTCGTTGTTTATATATCTTTCTAGATTTTTTTTGGATGAATAGTGGAATTAATAAAATAAAGTTAGTTTCCTACAGAAAAAAAGTCTGCTCTTTCACGTGATGTCCTATTTTGAATAACTCTTCGTTATCATTCCTGTTCAAGTGCTTGAAATCTTTAAAATCGCGTCATAATCAAGAGACAGTACCGATTTTTGTTCTTAATAACTCTAAATATAGTACTATGCAGAGTTGGGTAGTAACTAGTTAAAACGTTAAAAGTTAAAAAAAAAGTTAATAAGGGATGCTAAACCGACTACCGAACTCGATCAAGGTCGATAGTACAGACTTTTTTAATTCCAAATTCGATAATAGTGGTGAAATCTTTGATTTAGTTTTTACATTATATTATCTATCGCAAGACCGCGCAACTACTGCTACACGGAATTTCGGCTCTGTTGACAGTCCTAGTCTTCGCAATACACCTGTGTACACGTATTTTCCATTCGGTGACGATACTTTTTTTCTAGACTTTCAAACTTTTTTTCTACAAACTCGGTATCGTTCGTTCCAATAATGTGACCCCAACTGCACGATTATTTTCAAGATATGGACTTTAAAATTCTTGTATCAAGCAAATATGTATCTGAAATGATAGCTATATGAGCCAAAAGTAAGTGAATTTTTTAACTTTTTTTCCATTTTCTCATGAAATCCAGTACAGCTGAGGTCCTATTTGTGCGTACTTTAATTTATGTAATACTTTTGCAATCCGTAAATCCAATTCGGAGATTTTTCACCGAATGGAAATGTGGGTAAAACAGAAGGCTTTAGCATCGCCTTAACTTAGTTAATTTTAAATGCATTAATTTTTAACTTAATTTAGTTACTTTTAAACTTTAATTTATTAATTTTTTTAAATTAAAATTTTTTCTATCTCTCTTATCTATCTCTCTTAATGCTAATATTTTTTTTGTATAAAATCGAACATTAGAAAATTAATTTAGAAAAAGTTCAATGATTTTATGATGAGAGATCTATAATAACAGTCACACCATACAGTAGCCAGTTTTAACTCGCTAGGTTTTGTCAATTCCCGCTCATATTTAAATCTACACTAATTTTATATTTCAGTAACATAAATATGAAACGAGCCTTATGAAGAATTATTGTAGAACAGTATACTGCACAATCATTCAATTTCTAAATTTTTACGTATATTTTTTGTAACAAATATCTAGTCGATGTAGTCGTAAACATGCACGAGCAGACGTTTCAGAAGTTAAAGAAAGTTAGATAAAGGTTAAAGAAAGAGAAATAATGCAAAATTATACCCTTCTCTCTCGCAAGATTTTGACAAAAACGCCTTGTGATTGTTATTATATATAAGTAACTTGACATGTGAATATAAATTTAAATTTATCTAACAATCTACATTTGTAAGTGTTATTTAAAATAATCTTATTTTAAGAAAAATTTGGACATTCTGATCTCAAAAATACTTTTTTTCAAAATTAACTTTTTTTAAAATTTAAATTAATTCAATCTTAACTTAACTTTTATTGAGTTAATTCTTTATTCCTTCAACTTTTAACTTAATTTTATTAATTTTATAAGTCATTAACTTTAACTTAATTTAGTTTTAAAAAAACATTAATTTACCCAACCCTGGTACTTTGTAACGACTTTAATCGTACGAGCATTTAAGCTGCATTCTGGGAGACCCAGCCACGTGTGTGAAAAGTTGGCCCCGCCCTTTTCAAATTTTGTAATTTTTTTAATTGCATTGTGTTGTGCTACGTTTGTGCCGATTTGTGCCGCAAACCGCAGCTCAATAACATGAAGAGTTTTCCAAAAAAAAATACAATTTGCTAACCATACTAATATTTAGGAACGAAAAACTTCAAACTCGTGTAACTTGTCATTAGAAAATTTTGCCATTAGTTGTACTGTCGTAGCACAATTCGGCACAACTGAAAAAATTCCAAAAATGCCGAATTTTTTATTTGCCCTCACCCTTTTTTCAAAAACTTTTACTGAGCCTTAAGCTAATCTCTACTTTTTATGCGCGTGCTTCACGAGTCCTTCGTAGATTTTGAGTAGCACAATTCAGCACAGCTCGCAGAATTCGATTACTCACACCGTTCGCAAGTTACACGAGTTTGAAGTTTTTCGTTCCTAAAAAATCCTAACGGCTGATTTATAACTTTGACGATACCGCGAAATCTGTTGGTCTGAAGAAATTTTACCATAAGTAAAATTGTACTGTCGTAACACAACTGAAAAAAATCCAAAAATTTTTTATGTACTCTCACCCTTTTTTCAAAAAGTTTTACCGAGCCTTAAGCTCATCTCAACTTTTTATGAGCGTGCTTCGTAGACCTTGAGTAGCACAATTCAGCACAACTTGCAGAATTCGATTACCTCATACCTTTCGCAAATTATTGGAGTTTGAAGTTTTTCGTTTCTAAATATTAATATGGCTAGCAAATTGTATCTTTTTTTTAAACGCTTCATGTTATTGAGCTTCGGTTTGCGGCACAAATCGGCACAAACGTAGCACTACACAGCACAATTTTAAAAATTACAAAATTCGAAAAGGGCGGGGCCAACTTCACACACGTGGCCCAGCTGTTTTCGAGATATGACTTCAGAAAGAAAGCAATACAGGACAAAGTGTGTATCTGACTACTCGGTTACGCGCATTGTGTTACATCTGCGTTTTTCAAGAATTCCAAGCACGATATATCAACAAACAATTTCATTGCAGCGGTGAATTTAAAGTCATTTCTCAGTAAATACAATGTTACATGTAACGTACTTTTTAATTGCAATGTCAGCTCAACAAGATAACTGTAATATTAACACAGTGTGTTAACACATTGTGTTTACTGGGTTGACATTGCTGACACACGGCATTGCGTAAATCGAACTTAAACTTCACTGCGATCTTGTTTCACATGTCATTCTTGGTCAGTGCTGAATTAGCTAGTGTTTCATACAGTTGCAAAAGCAATCACATAAAATTGTGAAGTCTTTGTTGAAGCATTTAAGTGAATATTCTTTTCTATTGTTTTCTGTTTACCAATAGATAGAAATGGTAGATACATTTACTCGTTCAGTTTCTTTTGCTGAGACGGAAAGATACAGCAGCAGTTAGAAATAAACAATACCTACATAAATAAAAAGTACCAGGAGAAACTATAAAATGAGTTATTGCATCCAAACAGAAAACAATAGGAAAGAATACTTACTTAAATACAAATAAAATAAAGCATACAGCTACAACGCCAGATAATATTTGCGCGTAAGTCAATTTATTAGATTACACTAAAGTATAAATATTAAACGTTTCGGTCACTATTTTTGACCATCATCAGTAATTATCTACCTGATATCAATTTTTACCATTACAAAATATATCTCGTGAAATAATCTTATTAATTTTAATTGATTTGATACAATAAAATATTAAAAAATTGTCTTAGTCGCTTATTATAAACTATGTCTCGTTCTATACTCTTCAAAGGAATATAATTTTGATTCGTCCTGATTTTATAATATTTTTTATTCCAAAAATTCTTATAGAAAGAAGATCTCAAATTCTTGAAAACGTTTTGTGCGTAAATAAAACTTTCCAAAGCTATTAACAGACAGATAGTATATAAATTCTAATGTACGTTAAAAAAGAAACCGTGGTAAAAGTTAAAATAACATACCTATATTTGCAAACGCAACAATCGTGTGATCTCACAAAATTATGACAATTTGGATCATGGAAAGAGAACCTTCCTTCTTAACAGCGATAAGTAGACAGAGCTAGATAAAATTCTTTTATAACATGTGTATTGTTCGGAAGGAGACAAAGTTATTCGGAGAAGGAGATGTGATTCGAGAGGGAACATTTGTTGATAATAGAAAGAAAAATCTCCGGAAACCATCAGTGTCACTTTGTTTATTGATACCCTCTTTCTGTCTCTTTATATATATCATTTCAGAAATTATTCTTTTATAATATGACTGTTCACAATCCAAAATGTTAACATTAGTCCAATCAAATTTATGATTCATTTCTAATTGGTGTTGAGAAATTACCAGGCTTTTTTATATTAGCAATATGTTCTTTTATTCGCGTGTTAAGTTGTCTTTTAGTCTGTCCAACTTAAGAAAATAAGAAACATTGC